TAACGAACGTAACGTAACGTAACGTAACGTACGTACGTACGTAACGTACGTACGACGTACCTACGTACGTACGTAACTAACGTACTACGTACTACTACTCTCTCTCTCTCTCTCTCTCTCTCTCTCTCTCTCTCTCTCTCTCTCTCTCTCTCTCTCTCTCTCTCTCTCTCTCTATGGTCAAAAGAGGAACCCTCTGTAATTCTCATTCTTTTCTTTTTTTTGAGTGAAATTAACGAACCTCTGTAATTCTCATTCAACGTCAAAACTTTTGTTTACAATGCACCTTCTTCCCTTTTAATACTATGCTCCTTCCCTTTGCAAGATAATTAACGCCTCCTATCTTCCCTTATCTCCAATTACCAATCAACACCCAATGGATAAGGGTATGCTTTGCATAATGGAAAACCACACCCTTCCAAAAAAAAAATGGACTTATCTCATAAAACTACTTCTAATAATTATCTACTCCTAATAATCAGATGATGCTATCTAATATGAAGATGACCATTAAAAAAAGACGACGCTATCTAAAAGAGATAAAAAAAATGTCCTACCAAGAAAGGCTTATCCAAAATAATAAAATCCAAAAAATTAAATCGTCTTTTTATTTCTTTGTCTTGCAATTGCGATCCGAACACTCCAGATAGTAGAGAGTGGTTTCGACTGCATCAACTAGTCAAATCTCCTTTACTGAATGTCTTCCTGATTGGTGTCTTCCTTAATATCTGATATTCTATTTAAATTGATCTCATGAACATTATTTCAGGGTTTGGGGTTAATGCCACTTTTTATCATCCTTATGTGCAAGAGGGAGGAGGTTGTAGACACCAAGTATGTTATTTCGATATATTTGAGAAGCAACTTGTACAAGTATATTGTTGAACCTGTCAAAGACGATAAAGCTTTTATTTTGGCTAGACGTATGGGACTTTATAGAAGGCAGAAATTTAGGTGCATGGGTTGCCCATCATTGATTCTTTCAAGGTATAATTCTAGCAATCTGGGTGTTATTTGTCAACTTGGAAAAGGCCCATGGATATACATTCCAGAGTTTCTCAAAAGTCATTCTCAGACCAGAGGATTTTAAAGAATATAAATACCATATATGCGTGTGCAATTTGACCACCTTTTCCATCATGATTAACAGGAACACAAGGGGTATCTACATGGTTTCATAGGTTGAAGGGAAGAGCACCTATCATCCTCTCTTTTGTTTACTATTATAATAGAGTCACTGACCACCTTTTTAAGTGAAAATATCTGTTTTGTTGGATGTGGCATTTTCCTAGGTGAAGGCATGTCCAAGCTCTATTCCACTGACAAATTTGCTGACAATATGATTCACTTTGGAGAAGTGATGATCTGCAGCCTGTCCTTGAACTTTTATATTGAACTTTCTTTGAAGGTTCCAAACCAAAGTGTAAATTTAGAGAAAGTTAGATCCATGGGAGTGGGTTCTTATGTCAGTCAGCTGATGATCCAGCTCAAGAAGTAAAGTGAGTAGGTTGTTGAGGACATTTTGACAATATTTGCATTTACTCCTCTGTTGAGGTACCAAGGAAATCATTTTGGGATCAGGTGATTACAAAGTCTGCTAGGAGTAGGATTGAAAATAACAATGTCGTAGGGAATACATTGTCAAAGCCATCTTGCTTTATGTTCCAGCTCCATGTTGTTTCGTGTCTTTTCTTTAAATCCTTTAAGGCAATCAGTGACCAATTTGAGGGGATGCAAAGTGAACTTAACTGCGGAATGGTCCAAGGAAAAAGGATGTTCCATTTAGTTCATTAGAAAGAGTTGGGCATTTGTAGATGCAATATTTGCAGATTTTAACAGTGACAATCCCAAGGGACAAATTTATATACCTTGCCAGCAAACTAATGCTTGAGTCTTAATTTACATCATCATGAGTAAATGACACATGTATCATACTTCTGTGCTCTATTTCTATGAGGATATTTCTGTAACTGTACTCTCCAGTAGGATATTTTGTTGTCTTGAGGGAAGTTGTCCTTTACATATTCTCAGTGTGTTATTTTCACACATCATGTGTGGTTGATGAGAAATAGACCTCAGTCTTGATTATCTTCTGCTTTCGCCTTATTTTATGGTTGCAATCATACTTGTGCTTCTGCAAAAGTGTCTAGTAACCTTCGTTAACTTAAACATGACATTTTGTATTTCATACTTATGCTTCTGCACAAGTATGACCTTAGCCACAGATTCTAAATGTGTTTGTTATCTTAGAAGATCATGTTTTCTGCATCATCAATAACTGCACCTTGACTCATGATTGGCATTATACTCGAACGATCAACAAATTTTATGGAATTCACTTGTAACCTGCTTTTTTACAGTGTGATACATACACACTTTGTCTGTGAACTACTTCAGCGATTTAATGAGACAGGACGACACTAATTTCATATAATTTTGCTGCCAGAATTTATTCTGTGCTCTTAGGTGAATTAGGTAATACTAAAGCTTAACTACATTGTTTCGCTTCTTTAATATCAGAATATTCACCTGTAGCTTATTTTCTGTTTTTTTTTCTTCCCTTACTTTTGATTTCACCTAGATGCATCTTGAATTATTTGCTTCACGGAGATTGACATTCTATCCTTGTAACCTCATACCCATTTTTTTTTGTGCCGGTATCTTTCTTTTGCAGAATGGAGACGGTGAAAATTTTATTTCTTATTGGCCAGCTGCTTTATATACAGCTGTTCCAAGTCGGTCTTTCTTTCCAAGGGGATTTCTATGGGACGAGGGGTTTCATCAGCTACTTATTTGGTTAGTTGTCTCTGTTCCCAAAAGTTCGTTCTGTTACTTTGCTGTTTTTGGTTTTCTGATAACATTTCCTTCTCTTGTTTGCATATGGATTTGCTTTTAATAATTGATTATCTAACCATCCAAGTACAGATTTTTGTACCATCTTTTGTGCTGCGGGATTATTTTAGTAGTTAAAATAATCCATTAGAGGATTATGACATCCAAAAAGAAACATGATTATTGGATTCTTTCTGTTTAACAGGCGCTGGGATATTGGCATATGCTTGGATATCATTGGCCACTGGTTAGATCTAATAAATGTTGATGGGTGGATTCCTCGTGAGCAGATCTTGGGAGCTGAAGCTTTGAGGTGTATTTCCTGTTGTTGGATCTTCTGTTGGATAATATACATGGATATCGCTAATCTGATTGTAAGTAGGTAGAGTGCCTAGTGCACGTGGTGTGCCATACGAATGATTGTCGTTTTTGACTTACCTATTATTTTTCATACAGCAAAGTACCTGATGAATTTGTTCGTCAGCATCCCACAAATGGCAATCCACCAACATTATTTCTTGTTCTACAGGGTACTCTCAATCATTTGTCAAAAACTTTCGGCAATTGATTCTTTGGAAGGAAATTATTTTTTAGCTGATTTCAGATTTCTGTTTTCTCTGTAGTAAAATTTTTATATTTGATTTTGAGAATTTCAGCTCTCCAGTAATTTCTCATTGGCTAATATGATATCCCTTTTCCCATTAGTTGAAGTAAAATAGGATTTCAATAATGCAAAAACCTCTATTTCCTTATTGTTCTATTTTAATTCAAAAAAAGTTAATATGATTATGTTTTAATAATTGAGCACCTGTTATTCCTTGAATGATTATGTTCCATGTGTTTGTTCATCTTTGATAAACCTGAATAACTGCCCACCTTTATTTCATGCATGTAACAAATTTTTTATTTGAAGCAAAGAGAAGGACCTGAGTTCAGGTTTGATCAACTTTGAGATGATGATTGTTGTAATTTTGTATAACTTAATGTGGATAAGATATATGCTCTTATTGGTCAACTTTGACGACTTATGTATATCTGGATCTTCCAATCTACTTCATCAATAAATGGGCTATGTGCATTATTTCCTTTTATGCCTTTTAAAATTCATGTATAAAGGGATACATATGGTTCTGGATTGACAATGATATAATGCTGGTTTCTTTTTTATAACTGCTTCTCTTAGTGGAATTGGCTGGAAACATCATACCATAGTAGAGGATAATTTTTTTGGGGCAAACGTGTTGATGATTGTTTGTAAGCTCCTCATTAGTTCTTCTCTTTTAAACAAAAACATATGCTTGAATGCAAGTTTAGTTACCCATGATTTATTTCTTGATGTGTGTTATTAATGTATTTATACTCGCATTCATGCAAGTTTAGTTACCCATGATTTATTTCTTGATGTGTGTTATTAATGTAGTTATACTCGCATTCATGCATGTATTCATGTATGTGTGTGTGTCTGTCTGTATGTATTTTGCTTGGAAAAACAAAACAAAAAAAACTCACCTTATGACTTGCCCAACGACTTGGGCTAGTGATAAAGCTGCAAGTCTTGGAAAATTGATCCTTACGGACAAACTTGTCCTGCTTAGGTTGACTAATCTGTGACTAACTTATTGAAAAATTCCTTAGATTTGACCAAAGCCAATGTGTGAGTGTTGTCTTTGTTTGAGCTTAAAACACTGACATAGGTGGAATTATTTAGTTTTTTATATCACTAATTAAAACACTGACAGGTGGAATTATTTAGTTTTTTATATCACTACTGTTGTTATTGGTATATGGACTGACAGGTATGCAGATCAATTAATAGTTTGTTGCACATTTCTTATATTTGTCACGAATGTCTTTAATTGCCATGAATATGTCTCTTTGTTAGCATTCTTGAAAAAGTCCGTCTGAATTGATTAGCTAAAGTCAACTTGAAAAAGTCCGTCTGAATATGTATGAAGGTACTGGCTTTTAACATAGAAAAGTCTATTTTCTCTGTTTTAAAAACTTAAGCAAGTCCCTTTGAGTCGACTCGCCATGTCTCGAAATTGAGGAAAGTCTTCCTGAGTTTTTATGAGTCCAGTGAATGTTTTTTGTTCGACTTCTTTTTTTCTAGTTTTGGCAAACTGGAGCTCAAAATTTTACGTCGTGGCCCCTGCCTAGTGGTTTGCAGGGGGAATGTAGCAGCTAATTGAAACCATCTTCCTGCCCTCTCTTCACTTTCTTGCAACCATTTTCTTAAATCCAGTTTTTGTTGTCTGTTCAAATTACTTATTCTTTGTTTTGGATACCTTGATCCCAAAATCCCTGATGTGGTCTTTGTGCCCTCTCAGATCATCATAGCTTTAAACGTTACTAGAACAGATAGGAGGTATTTGTACAACTGTCACTGGGTCATGGCCAGAGTGCTGGTATTTTGGGTCTATTCCATGTAAAGAATTCCTCTTCTTTTTTATTTAATTTCGGTGCGTAGATTTCATAGTGTTTCATTAGTTAATGTGCTTACACTTGTATGTTATGCAAGTTAACCTTCACTAAAAAAAAATTATTTGGATGTTATGCATAACACGTATTATAAAAAAAAAATTAATATTTTACGTACAAATATTCACACCATGTTTTACATGCTTTGCAAATTTTTTATTATATTTTTAGAACCTTCATGCTTATGCACTTCCTAAGAGAATTATTTCTCTAAAGTTTAATGAATCTTTTGAAACAATTAGAAACTTTTAATTTGATGCCCATGGTTTTTACCGTTAGCATATTAACAGCTTATGAGCAATTGTCTTTCCTCCGTTTGTTAGACACAGATATCAGTGATTAGTTTCTGATTGTTTCAAATTTTTAGAAACATGAAATGCAGAAAGCTTTCGCATTGCAAATACTCTTTGGGTACTTATTCCAAAATTTGTTTATCTCGTCATCTCCTGTAAGGCTCTATAAAAGTTTATCTCCATTTGGACCTTAGCTTATCTTGGGGGCCTCCACCCTTTCAGATCTTACCGTTGGTATCGAAAGAAACATATTTTCTCCCGGTGAAAGTGATGCAATTGCTGCATTTCTGGAGAGGGCCTTCGTCAGACTTGAAGCATGGTTTCAGTGGTTTAATACTACCCAATCAGGTAAATTTTACTTAAACGTGTTGTGTATGAGTTTTGAAGTTTCATGAAATTTGGTCAATGAAAAACATCTATCTTCTAAAACATTTTGAATTCTACAGGGTTCACATTGTTCCATCAAATTTAAGGCAAAGTTATTTATGTGTTGTTCATTATATCCTTTCTCTTATTTAATTTATGGAAAAAGCTAGGATTAGCCCACTAGCTCATATGAACATATGAGCCCAACGGTCCAGATTGAATCTAGGCCGATCTGACGATCACGGATGTCCGATACTCTTTGAATTTTATTTTATTTTCTACAAATCCAAATCACTTGAAATTTTAGGCGTGTGTTTATCAAAAATAAGTGAATCTTCAAAAAATATCAAAAAAATATTTTACATGAAATAAATCGACCAAAGTACCCCAGAAAATTTTAGGGGTATTTTGGTCATTTTATTTTTCTCAAATAATGTTTTTTATATTTTTATTAGATGCGCCTTGATGAGAAGAACACACACCTAAAATTTCAAGTAATCTGAATTTGTCAAAAAAAAAGAAAAAAAAAAGAAAAAAAGATTCCAAGTACTACCGGATATCCGTGATCTTCAAATCGGCCCAGATTCAATATGGACCGTTGGGCTCTTATGTTCATATGAGCTAGTGGGCTAATCCTAGCTTTTTCCTTAATTTACTATGGGCTCTTCTGCTATTTTAAAAGGAACCTTGTTCTTGTAGTAGTCAATGATGGGGCTAATGACATAGGTAGGGAAAACTGAACTAAAGAAATATAAATTTTAAACATATGAAAAACTCTCTTATTATGTTAGTTCCTAACTTACAAAAGTGAGAAAATATGGACAGATATCCAGCCTAAACTAACATTGTTGAAGCTTAGAGATTGAAAAGTGCCATTATTTTATATTTGAGGACTGTGATAACTAACTACACTGTTTTTCTTGGATAGCACTCTCATGCTCTATGGCAAGCTTTGGATACTGTTTAGGTTTTAATTCTCCATGTCCAATGTAATTCTCAAGCCACTTAGATTGAATGCTGTTTATACTTCATTAATCTTATGCTTCAGTGTATTTCTATTGCTGCCTTGTGTGGGAAGAAAGTAGCAATTAGAGATTCTTGGTCAATAACTTCTTGTACTTCTTGTAGTACTATTAGCGTTGCATGTACTTCCAGAATTTGTGGCCCCTTTTTTAAAAAAAAATCACTTGTAAATTTACTGGTTTTGTATGTTACTTCGTAAATAATGTGACTGATGTACTCTATGGGTACATGTTATCATGCATATGCTAGAACTTTCTTTTTACATTTCTTTGTGTTACACCTCTCCTGATGTTTTTTCTGTTTTTTCATATACCATAACTGCATACTCCCCATCAACAGAGTTACTCATAGCGGCCTATCTTTATGTAACCTTTCTGTAAACTATTTCTCTTTCTTTTGATTTTTAGGGAAGGAACCAGGCAGCTTTTATTGGCATGGGAGAGATAATACGACAGTTCGTGAGCTGAACCCTAAGGTATTACCAAGAACGTTTTAATGGATTGACTCTGTTGTATGTCCCAAATTTATAACTTGCAATATATGGTGTGTTGTGTGATCTGATATCTTTTTCCTTTGCTCTTTTTGTGAGCTTATTTGGGTTTTTGCTACATGTTTGTTTAGGCCCTGTCCTCTGGTTTGGATGATTATCCTCGTGCATCTCACCCTAGTGAGGAAGAGAGGCATCTGGATCTAAGATGTTGGATGCTTCTTGCTGCAAAGTGCATGCATTCCATTTCTAACCTTCTTGGATCAACAAATAGACTGGAAAAAGTAACTATCCTCAGTACAAACTTGGTCTTCTGTTGTTTAGTCAAGTCATTGTGTTGATTGCTTTTTACTTAAATTGATGCAGGGATACAGTTTAATGGCTGAAGAGCTTTCCAATTTTGATTATCTCAATGAGGTATTACTATTATATTTCTATTCAATGTTTTTATTTGTTTTTTTATCTTTCCATATTGACACTTTATCTGTGTTACTATGATAGTACTTTCTCCGTGGGACAGTTTACTACTTTATTTCCATTGTTTTGGGATCTTTTTAATATGTTTACAATGTTTATGATTCTAAGACATATGTCTTCCATCCATTTATTGTATCGACAAATAAAACTTTCTTTGTAGCTAGATTTTGATGCACAGCATTATCCTTTGTTATTTCAGTGAACTTGAGCTAGTGCACTATTATATCATTGTCAAGCACTTTCCAGTAATTTTTTAACTAGTAATTATCTGGTTGAGCTACGACTTGAGGTCCCACAAATCCTTTGTTCCTGCAGCATCTCATTTATACGATCTCAAGAAGGGCACCACTTTGTGAAATTATTAAGAGGAAAAGGTTGTAAGCCAGTTATGTTACACAAACAGCTGACCCGTTTTAGTATTAGAATAGAGTATGCAAAGCTGATGGAGGCTCCTTTAACTTATCATGAAATCGAAAAGGATTAGACATGGAGTTTGAATTACATTAGTTTTCATATAGAGTGTTCCTTCCTTGTGCGGGATATATGTCCTGCGGAAAATCTCCAGGACTTTGACAAGACAAATTTTAACAAGTCCGAGTTGGTCTAGATCATTAGGCACCTCCCTGGATGATACCATATGCCGGCATTGGAAGGAATGGATTGGAGGGGTTGTAGGATCCTTGAAATGTGATTCAAGAAATATCATCATCATCATCGTCATCTGAGCCTTATCCCAACTATTTGGGGTCAACTACGTGAATCCTGTTCTGCCATTTTGGATCAAGAATCATGAAATGGATATGGCAAAAGTTTTAGGTTGTCTGCCAACGTAACACAACTCTCCTCCTATATTTGGGTTTGAGGCCGGCATGATTGGCTTGGGACTAGCATGACCGGCCTAGGACTGGCCATGCCGGAGTTAGAATGTGATTCAAGGAATATTCCTTTAAATAAGACCTTGAACTGAATGGTCTTTTTTTCTACATGAACATAAACTTTAGTGAGACTTAAAATCGGAGTGGAGGTTCTCTTTTTTTTTTTGAGCGGTAACGTAAAACATCCATTAATCCAAGGTGAAAAAGAAAACAAGATGTACAAAAAAAACATAAGATCACTGAAAAGAAGTGACCAAAAAAGAATAAGCATGAACTCCTCCTTTGACATGGGAGTCGGCATCTACATTCGCCTTCCTGTAACAATGTTGAATAGTGGCCACGGAGCATGACAGAATATCCCAAATCTGACAAAAAATAGTCCTTAATCTCCAAGGAATATGTGCCTCTCTCTTGCTCCAATAGAGTGGAGGTTCTCTTTATCTTCTGATTAATATAGCCTAAGATTTTCTGGAATAGTGCTTACAATCAATATGGACAGTTGTCTATCATTTTGTGGGGTCTCTTGGATCAAACAATTCAAGGAGGAGTTCAAATGCTTATGGTTGGGTTTTGGATTTCTAAGAGTAATTTTAAACCTATATTGTTGATAGTTAAGCATGTTCCGTTAGTTGGATGATATGGTCCCCAACACTCTAGGGATTGCTAAGATATTTTTGAAAACGATTGACTTACTCTATGGAGAAATGATCATCTGGTTCATTTTTTACACACATTGTTTCTTTTAGTTTTTAATGTTAACCATTAGATTAGAAGAAACACAAGCATGTGAAAATATAGGAGACTAGGTATGATTTCCCAATTGACAAGCCTTTGTCTCTCCCTCCCGGGGCTGCCTTTGTCCCTCCCTCCC